GTGAAAGGCGGGGATGGCGAAACGACAATGCGCGTGAATTATAGCAGAATGACTGGCTAGTTTTAAAGGCAGGAAGCCAACATTAGCGGAGTTGCGCATTGATACCGAGCATTCTGCAGGAGACCATTAATATTACTTACTTATAACAGGGTCGGAGGGGGTTGACGCGCTGCGATGCCGACTGCCTTCGGCCTGTTCGGCCTGTTCGGGCTGTTCGGGCTGAACGGCCCTCGCGAAATACAGCCTGCTCGTTCGCCGGGCTGCCTGGTTAATGAGGCAAATTGGGAAATCGATGGGAGAAAAAAGTCTTAAACTCGAGGATATCCTTAAAGGGGGCGAGGGAATAGTATTAAATAATAGAGTCTATATAGAGTTAATGAATTAATGGGGCAAGAGTGAATAGAAATAAGCTGAGCTTTTAATAAAAGCGAACGCGAGCGGCGGCTCATCCGTAAGATTTAATTAAACGAACTGCGGAAACAAACATCATAAATAATGGTTCGCGATTCTGGGTCGTCCGACCGGATGGGGTCGTGTGGGGTGGAGGGGTGGGCCAACAACCCGCTCGAGGTGACGGCGACGCTGATGGCGTATAGGAGATTGGAGGAGGCTCAAACGGATTAGCATAAACAAATCATCGGGATTAGAATGCGCGAGCGACCGGCTGGCGGCACCGGGAGCTTGTAAAATCAAAAGGACAAACAATTAATAACCCCGAGGCTGACGATTAATCAGAATTTAACTCGCAGTTAAATGCCCGGACCCGATGCTAGCGCCCCCAGGACGGATAAACAAAGGTTTATATCAGTGTCAGTTGCAACAAGTCTGACTTTGTCTACGGGCAGCCGCATGAATATTCACGGGACTCGTTCGCACCCCTAGCCTCCACCCTTAGCCCAGCAGCAGCGCCGCATCGGGCACCGAGTATCCCGGCTACATTGGCGTCGGGGGTGGTTTGACGTTCGAGCGGGCGCGAGTCAAAGGCCGAAATCACAATACGCGTTTGTCCGGCTGACGAAAGCAAATAGAGAGGGTGCCCCGCCGCTGCCCCGCCGCTGCCCCGCCGCTGCCCCGTAGGCCGAGTGGTCATTTGCTTTGAATTGGAAATAACGCCCCGTACTGTCGAAGCTGAACGCGTTCTTTTTATTTTAAAACCAATTCACAGCTTTTCATCCCTTTTCGCCTAATAACAAATCCTCGGGGTGACGCAACTCCAATCGCGCCTGCGGCAACTTCAAGTAGAACAAGTGGAAACAAGTTGAAAACGGTCGCGATAATTTTCGGGACTTGAAGGTGTTCTCTATTTTCTCGAAAATCGATCCCATCGGGGAACCATTTACGTCTCTCCGGCATTGAGAGTCCAAAGGGGATGAAGTCCCTTTCCCAAAATGAACCCTTTCAAGTGTCTCTCCCTGGCGAACCACCTCCGTACCAATCCGATGATTTAATCCCCGAATGATGGACGGGCACGTCGCGACGATGATCTGTGTCGCGTGAAGTGACAAGTGGTTAGGATCACGGCAACCAACCAACCAACCAACCCCATCAGGCCCACCAACCCCACAAACTCACGCCGCCAGAGAGAGAGGGCTCTACGGGATTCCGGAGGTTCAAGTTTGTACTGGTTGGCAGTGCTGCCAATGGTGCCACCATTGCCGCTTGTGTTTCCACGGGGGTTTTCGACGGGGCTCGCGAGCTGCCTAGCTCTCTCGCACCGTACAAATCATGTTGGCATTACTGCGTCAGGCGAGGACTCAACCCGTCACGCTTGCCAACCTGACGGGTAATGCTGATTTATTGGGAATGCACCGTCGATGCATCCGTTCGGTCCGTCGGGATCCACGTTTCCTACGATCCTTCGATATTTTCCAACAGAATCGCTTCGGCTCCTCTATTCGACTTCTCGCCTCCACATTGAATTAACTGACCAACGTCAGAGAGAACAGGTGTCTGTCGATTATAGTATTTATAGTAATTAATTAATCAAGCGATCCTACCTCTCGAGGTGTTTGACAATGTCTTCGTAGGCAGCACGGCAGTTCTCCCAAATCCCGGACCTGCGAAAAACAAAAGAAGGATGAAAACTTAAAGAGCATAGAGTCGAGCGAACTCGGCGCGATGGAAGGAGGAAATGAACTTCCGGAAGAGAAGCAATACGTAGCGTGGAAGGAAGGTATGTGTCTGTAACGATCATGCAGAATCGCAGGTAACGAGGCGAATCCAGTTGATCGCGCGAACGTAGATAGAAGCGAGAACTCGCGGATCGCGATAAGCAAGGAAGTACTGATTAAAGGAGGAGAGGATAAGTAGACGGAAGATCAGCTAACGAGAAATAAAAAAATCATCTCAGCAACCGCCATATACAGTATAACTGTATATACATAAACGCGACAGGGAATTATTAATTACGCCCAGGACCAAACAGCAGCCACGTCCTGATTGCGAATCCTTGGGACTCCCGGGTCTTCGGCTTTTGATTCGATCGGCCCCAAACCAACCAGCTGCCAACCTAACGAGTCAAACTCGGAACCTTTGATGTCGCTGATTAAAAATGTCCAAGATCTCCCAGGACTAATTCGCAGAGTAACGACAGTCGCGATTACGAAAAAATATTTATTCGCCGAAATCGTCATCAGCCTTCGAGTCCCGCGCGCTTATAGCCTTTTTACACGTAAATAACGATGCGTCCGATTACTTCGCCAAATGGAAATTCCATTTTAGTCGAGTACTCGGGGAGATGGTTACTTGCGCGAGAGAGAACGAATTTCGGGGAAAGGGACGTCAGGACGTGGGGCGAGGGGGTCAGGAGGGGCGAGGATGGGGAGGAGGAAGGGACTCGTAGGTTCGTAGGTCGAGCATTGAGCGCGGTAGGTATACATGTAGGTGGGTATAGGTTACGTTGAATCCGGAGGTGGCCAGGATGGGGTTGCGTTGAATTAATCATATTCCGGTGTTTGTCGTCGCGCCCCCAGACGTAATCCGTCTTACCTCCCGATCTCTCGCTTCTCTGCCGCGATAGATTTGCATTTTAATTAAAAGCAAAGCGCTGAAATCATAATGCGGAACGTGCGGCGCCGCCTTCTCCACATCATTATACGATACGCTGGGCGATCCAGTTGAAACGCACCACTTTGTAGGTTAGGTCCGACAGCCGTCGTGCGACCTCACGGGTTAACCACGCTTTGGTCAAATTTCATAATCAAGAGAAAAGTCGTTACGTAACGTCGGTGCTATCGACATCCGGCAGAGAAGATGACGGATGCACGTGCTGCAAGAGGTGCAGGACGCGATTGATCGGACACGGGAAGCCTACTGGACTATCGTTAGATTTGACGTAACAGGGCAAACGGCCCTATATAATGATAAGAGATCCGTCCAACGAGTCTCGAGGCAAATGGGTAAGCGAGTACCGGTGCAGCGACGCCTATTACATTATTTTCACGTCGAGCTTATCCCCCTTTGGCGCATCTTAAGCCGCGTACATAATTCAGCGGGACGAACGAGTTCTAATTCAGCGATATTTAGGCATCTTTGAAGCCGGCGCCTTTAGTTCGAAATCCCCAACGCGCTGCGGTTCCGAGACGAATATCGCGGCTTAGATACGCGCCCTCTCTCTCTCTCTCTCTCTCTCTGGCCCCAGGATCTTCTGCGAGGAGTAAGCACGGAGGGTGAACCCCGCGAGGAACTCCGGAAGATTCAAGACGGGTTATACGGCTGAGAAAGGGTTGGCGAGTTAATCCCGGCATTTGTTAACGCGTTTCTAATAGATGTTCTGCCAGTGCTTCTGTCTTAAAGTTCATCCCTTAGCGCGGAGGGGCGAAGAGGGAAGTTGCTTAGGAATTTTCTATTCCATCCGCGACTACCCTAAATGAAATGTCCAATAGATTCGATGTATTGGCTGATATATCGAGCAGTTAGCGGACGCCGCCAGGTGTAACCTATCCTGGTCGATAATGAGGGGGGTGAGTCAGGAGCGAGCAACACGTAAGGAAACAGACTTAGAACCGAGATCAAGCAGTGTCGAGACCCCTCGGATTTCCACGGCTTCTCCGCCTCTCTCAAATCCTCTTAAAGTTGTATTCTTTTGGCCTCGGCTTGGCAGCCCACCTATCGGCCGCGCGCGAGCACCCGCGAGTCACTCCCCGTCTTCCCGTCTTCCCGTCTTCCCGTCTTCCCGGAGAGACAGCGAGTCTCCCTCGAGAGAACTTAAAACAAATAAATCCAATTTCTGAATGCGCGTCTCGCCGATAGACGAGCCGCGACCCCCCGAGCGGCGTCTCGACGCCCTGCACCTCCCCCCTCTCGTCCCTCCTCCGCGCGGCACTGCTACTTGCCACTTCCGTACCGTCAGGGTCTTTGCAAAGTTTTCCATACTTTTGCTTCTCTCAGTCAGCCCCTTTAACCCCCCCCC